ACAGAAGTCCTGGTTGCTTGGCAACAGGTACAAGTTTAGAGTCCGGTGTGACTGTGACGACCAGAGTGAGAGGACAGCCTGACAACCCTGTCTCACACACACACACACACAGGTGAGGAGGGAGGAGAAAACACAGGGACACACACACACACACACACACACACACACACACACACACACACACACAGCAGTTGGATGTATGCGCCTCACAAGTTTCTTGCAGGAAAAGGGGATTAGAGGGAGCCATCAGTAAACTCCTGAGGGAAGTGCTGACATTAAACAGCACAAGCGTTTGAGAGATCGATGTGGGTTCCTTGGAGCCGCCATACCTCTGGACAACCACGTGTCCTTGGTAACAGCCCCACACGACACATTCATCTTCAAAGGCGGCGTACCACAGAGCGAGATGGAGAGCTGCGAGGAGTCCTTGGAACCTCACAGGGTTCCTAAAGACGAAGCCCCTCGCTGCTGCAGGGGTCCCGGCACCCGGCACACCAGATTTGTTTAATAGACAAATAAACTCTGACTTTACCGCTTCATAACAACACAACAAACGGTCCATCATCATTAAATGTTGGCGCAGCAACATTACATTGGTAATGTGATGTTCCCAATAAATCTGCTGTTTATGGGGCACAGCGTGGTCTTTAGCTCGTGAATAAACGCGATTCATACTCATCGTATCAAAGTAGGCCGCCGACTCCACAAGGTTCACCCTTTACGATGATTGCCACAAATTACATGTATATTATACAATCCGTGCATTTACATGCACCTCCATACAAAGGTTACTGAGGGAAACCAGGCCACACAGTAATCAGAGAACGCTCTGTAGTAACATGTTACTGCAGCAGGTCAGAAAGAGAGACACTGCCTCTTCTCCTAGCCTCTGTGTGGAGCAGAAAGTGAAGTGAGAAGACCGGCAGAGAGGAACCTTCCCTCACAGCGTGAATATTTCTGAATCTGAAAAATTGTTAATATTCAGACATTAAAACAGTCCTAGTTAGACTTCTAAAAGTTATCGTCTATTAAAGTTCGGAGGAATTTTAAATGCAAGAATTTAAGCTGTCACCTTTAGTTAACTAATAAATGAGTGGATAGACAGAAACATAATTGCAAACTATTTTGATTTTGATCGATTAATCCTGCTGGAAAAATGGCAGAAAGCGCTGTTGTCAGTCTCTCAAACATGGAGATGTCCTGCTTTTCTCTGTTTTATATCGTATTAAACCTAACATTTCATTGTTGAATCCAAGACATAATTAATCAAAAGAGAAAACAATTGACAGATCTCGCTGTGCACGGTGGCATCACACCTTGTTGTCCTATACATATGCACGTGTAAAGAGCTGATTACACAAATACATGGCATTTAAGTTGGAGGGTTTTAGGAGAGATCTACTTTGGGAACCAGGCTGATGCAATACAAGAAATGTACGTGCCAACAGAAACGTTGTATAATAGTTTTTTACTTTGCTTGTATGACATGTGCCAAGCTTTTACGTGTGGGGAATAGACTTGAACTATTATTTAAAATGTTCACTAGATAAAATCTCTCTTTTTCCCCACAAGAATTGTTGATATTGGCAACACTTCATTTTAACACCCCCCACATCCACAGAGAGTAACAGAGCAGAACAGTTATTGAAACAACACAAGTAGGAACATAGCATTATGAATTGGTCTTATTGTATCAGTGTTGACTCACTGACGGTCTCCTCTTAATGATCCAAATCCACAAGTGCTCCCTTACAGTATGTGTTCACTTGCTATTCACCAAACAGGAACTCAAATGAACTCGGTATACTCTTTTATTGCCATTATCTACAAGAGCCTTATTCCAAAAATGACCCTAGCATTAAGGGCCTAATACACAAGTTAAACAAATAAACAAACATGAACACAGCCACATTTGACTCTTCTGTTGTTAAAGAAAAAAGCGTCTGTACCTTGGGGAATTTAGGATTAAATCACTCACCATGCCTCATGAATGAAATCCTCAGTATGGGACAATATTTGTTTTCAACTGTTAAATAAATCTGATATTCTGACCTATGAGAGCGTCAGATTGAATCAACATTTAAGTGTTAGTTCCCTCTGCGACATTTTACAATAACTTCCCACATTCAGTGAGCTGCTCCATTTTTAATTCTAAACCCTGAAGACCAGATGAAGAAAATGTTGGTACAATAAGCTCTTTATCTAAAAAAAAAGATGCCAAGTGTGCATATGAATTGATACAGCCCTGCTTAAATGTCCCTTCAGACGTTCCTCCTTTACACCTTTCCATCTCTTTTTGTGTATGTGTGTGCACACGCTGATGGCTGTGTGTTTTTGTTTTTGTGTAGTCCTCCTTTATGTCCATCATCTTTATTATGCATGTGTAATGTTTGGCAACAAATCAGAGTGTGCAACTGCTTGTGTGTCTGTGTGCGTGTCTGAAATATCCCTGTCATTTCAACGTTTCTCGTTCCCAATCAGTTGTCAGGCTGTGAATAGGAGGTTTGAATTTGCAGATTGCTGCTGAATCACAGCTCATCAGTGTCATACATGTTTATGACACCGATGACGGAGGCGGGGAATTGCAGCATAACAGAGAGAAAAACAAACAGGTCTCCAAGGTGATTGAGAAGATTTCTGAGACTGAAACCAATGTGCTTATTATGAGAATGGCAGGATAAATATGCTGGAGGATGAGCCAAGAGCCTGATGGAGCACAGTAATCACTGGCAAATTGCAAACCTTAGTTTCTGCACGCAAACACTTTGCATAATATATCTATGGAGCTGCACATTTCCCAGCAAACAGCATCTGAACAGGTGCAATCTCTAAATAAAGACATTAGCAGCTACATTTTTTGAGATAGGAAACAAATTTGTGATGCATGTACCTGTGGCTGGGTCGATAGTCCGCTCGATCAAGTGGTCGTCCTGGTGCACCCACTCCCCGTTGCACTTGAAGTAGATCTGCGTGGCCGGGGTGGAGCGGCAGGTCAGAGTCACCGGCTTGTTCTTCACGATGAAATTGTCCTCTGGCTCCACCAGGAAGTGGGGTAACAGGTCATTGAAGGCGGCGGGGAGAGTTGCTGTGGCGTGCTCGGAGCCTTTAGAGAAGAAAAAGGAAAACAAAGTCAGTGATTTTCTAGAGATGCCAAATACAAAAACGCTTTTAGATGTTCAAGTTGTCATGAATGCAATGCACCAAATATCTAATGCAGAGATTTAGTGTCCTTGGCGAATTCATACATATTCATATGAAAGAGGAAGAAGAAGACAGATGGGCAGACGGAGAAAAGAGAGACAGAAATAAGTTGGCAGTAACAGAGCTTGGCCTTGTATGCTGTATGGAGTCCAGGTCTTAACTTCAGCTCTTAATCACAGCCCTTTAACATCAGCGCTGATGGAACGCTGGCCATAAATATCGTCTCAGCGACTGGGACACTTCACAGCGTGTTATACGGCTCTTCAACCAGGAGTCTAACCGCATTAAGCAAGGCGGGGCAAAAGGCAGGGAGGGTAGAGATGAATGACAGCTGGATAGTTAGGGTTAGGTTAGCTAAATAAATACAATATAAATATAGGCTGTGCTATTCCTTGAGACATACAGGACATGTGGAAGAAAAAAAAAGTATAGATACATATCCACTCAGCGCCAGCAATGTAAAAACTATTAATATTCTTTACTTGAGTGAAATTATTAGTATCACACTGTAAAAATACTCAATTTAAAGTTAAACTATAAAATCAAGAATGGTACTTTAGTAAAATTATGTAAGTACAATCTTAGTTAAAAAAAAAGGTCTGTTCTTAAAAAATATAAAGCAGAAGAGCAAATCTTTGGGTTTAAGAAGCTGCTAAAGGTTTTTGAACAATAAGCGTCTCAGCTAAATACCTAATAAATTCATTTTCTGTTAACCCACTCATTGTTTTAGTTACTTAAATATAATGTTTGATGGTTGAGTCTATATCAAATAATACTTTCCACAGTATGTTGTGTGTCAAAATCAGAATTTCTAAAAGTAACTAGTAAATAAACCTGTAAAAATGGTACATTGGGTTTAAAAAAATACAAAAAGAGTAGAAGTAAAAAATAATACAAAATAAAAATACTTGGGTAAAGTACAGTAACCTCAAATATGTACTTAAGTACAGTACTTGAGTGAATGTACTTAGTTACTTCTCACCAGTGCTGAGCGCTGATACAGGACCTGTTCTTAAGAGGGACAAGCTGCAATTTATGGCAAACTGAGAAATGTCCAAGACAAATGCTGAGTGACACAATGAAGCCTACAGCGCACATATCCCTCCTCCATGCACACAGTATCGCTCTCTAAACATATTAGCTTTGTGCGAGAGATAGCAAGAGGATGTGGACCGGAGGAGGAAGAGGGAAATAACCTCTTTACACCAACAACACTCAGGGGAGACCAGTAAATCCCAAAATAAAACCTCTTTAAAAGGAGTGTAATATTAATTTACTGCCATTAATCCAATATGGCTGACAGACCAGGCATTAACAACCTGCTCCATCACTCCCTGTGCAGCAGGAGAGGATGGGAGTCCACATCTCTCATAATGAAACTGCAGCACGAGTGCTGACCTTTCTCTCCTCTCTTCCTCTCCTCCCTCGCCCAGCCTTCACTCATCCTTGCAGATGCCCGGGTCAGGGATAATATAATGTTGCATCACAAACACCCATTTTTGGACAAAGGCATTATCTGTCAGGCCCTCCCCCACTGCACATTATATTAATATCTCTCTTTCTTTTACCCCTGTGTGCTGAGTTGCTAATTTATCAGGATGAGATAGTGAAGCATGCCACTGCTGCTGCCGCTGAACCCCATTAATGTTTCGTGTACATGTTTAACTCTTAATGGAAACTAAATGTTCTGTGTCCAATGAACGACATACATCACTCGCTGACACTTTCCCGAGCACATTTTCTCTTTTGAAACACATTTGCAGAGAAGAAAATGTTATTAATGTGGCAGCTCCCTTTTCAGGACAACACAACTGCCCGACAATATTTACTATGTATGCGAGTGTGTGTTTCTTGTCTCGTGGTGTTGAGGAAAAGGCCACAGTTCATCATGAATGGTGAGTATAATTGCTAATAAACGTTGCTAATAAACAGCGTGGGACCAGTAGGTCAGGTTGTTTGAAAGTGTGTTGGTCTTAATGACGGTGGCTCCTTATAATGGGCCGGCTTCCAGCTTTGTGACCACGGCCATTAGCCGACCGGGGCTGACCCTCTGTATTCCCGGCAGACAGAAGAAGACAGCTCACTAAAACAATGGGCGAGACTCACCTCACACCTGCCAGGTTAATCATCACATAGAGGACGGATGATGTTGAAACAGAGTGAAGTGAGCGCCACCTGAGACTCTGACGAGAGGCGAGAGCGGCGAGATGAGCCCCTGATAATGTTAACTCACCGCTGGATGCTCATTTGCAAGGGTCACATTCAACATGACCTCTCAACTTCTGATGAGGTTTCCAATTTGTGTTTTTGTGTGTCACAAGGGGTGGGGGCTAGACTACCCTTTTAGTACATGTGCTTTAGGTTAATGAGGTTAAACACGTAATTTCTTTAGAGAAGTAAATTGTCCTTTTATGGGAGGGGATTCTAGTCACGCACCGCTTTATATCAAACCCATAATGGAAGGCTGATGCGTTGTAAATTGGCTTAGATTATTGTCACGACATAATGTACTTCAAAGTCAACGTGCGGGCACACGTGCACACGCACACAGGGAGTATCAGCCACTTAACAGACTTGTTGCAGGTCAATGCACAAATCAAATAGACATACAGCAGGACTATGGGCACTGCATTATTTTCAGCTGAATGTGATTGGCCAAAGCTGCTGTTATTTGTCAAATGCTACGTCCGTTGCCAGATCATTTAGTGCACACACAAACAAGATGAAAAACCTCTCCCTTGCTGATTCAGCCAGTGAAGATGATTTAATTGATGCACCATGCTGGATGTGTTGCTAGGGCCCAGTAAACAGCATAAGTATCAAGCACTTTCATGAAAAGAAACCAGAAGAATGGCTTTATACATGTCAACTTTTTTTTAAAGACAAGCATCAGGCTGTGACACACACACACACACACACACACACACACACACACACACACACACACACACACACACACACACACACACACACACACACACACACACACACACACACACCAAGGGAGCAGTAGCTGTTAGTGAGCTGAGCCGTGATGTCCAGAGCAGATTTCCTGCTGCGCACAGACCCCATGTCTCATGTGTTTGGCTGACCACTCGTCAACTCCCAAGTCATAGGGGACAAGCATGTCCACAGGACAGGCACATTGATGAAGTTGTTTTGCAGTGTAAGACTTATCAAAATAGGTGTTTAAATTAAAAAAAATGGTTTTCCTGTTGGCTCAGTATTTATATATATATATGCCCCGACCAATGTAAAAGGCACGAAGGATCAGATTTCCACAAGTGTTGCAGCTTTGTAAACGTCTTTTGTTACCATCCATCTTCAGTCACTGACTGTATCACTTTGCAGGAATATTTTTTGTATGCACACAAATCTCAAGTCTGAAATGAAACTCTTCAGATATCCTCCCTCCTCTGCTCGTGTCAGCGGTCCCCACACTGTCTCCTTGTGTTATCTCTTTTTATTTTAATATTGGACTCCTTATTATCCACTTGGAGAACAGAATTGCTGAGTGCACCGGAGAATGGGGATGTCAGCAGGGATAAAAACTATAGCTGGAGAGAAAATAACCTTCTTTTGTGTTCCTCCCTCATGGCACCAACACACCGGGTGCCCTTTGGAGCCAATTACATTTCTTTTTTTTTACAGCATCATGTCCCGAAGGAAAGCATCATTGAGCAATCACTGGGCATAATTTACATCACAGTGATGAACAGCAGCCATAACAAGTGTTTTATGACACCATCAGCACCTTACATAGTCCTCTGAAATTAATTCAATTAAAATCACTATCCGGAATATTAAACCATTTCATGTTCAGCTGCCATTAACAACAAGTCAAGTTCAATTTGTACAACCACTCTGTTGGTGGATGCTCTTAAACCATTGAGTTCATGTATTGTATTCACTCCAAATGTAATGGACGTACATTAGTGTCATGGAAACAAAAGCGTTATTGTGTGGTTATTTTCAATAAGCCTCAGACAACATTAACGTTGACAATGATCAAACACAGCAGGAAAGACGCAGAAATGAGATTTTTTCAGAAAAAAACCCTCCATCCACCATCATATATAATGTGGAGCAGTGCTGACTGATGTATGTTTGTCCACAGATGACAAATATTTACTCCTCCACATGTCTTGTATTGAGAGAATACATTTTTCATTGAGACAACCATTCTTCATTAAGACACACTCTTTCTCTGTCAAACATACAAAGTACACATTCATGGAGCTGAACACACACAAGATGCTAAAAAAACATGCTCACACACAAAATATAGATCGCAGGCATGCAAAAAAGGAAATTGCTGCTCAAACAGCTTTGTCTTTCTATGGATCAATGAGAGATGCAGGATTATGAATGCAAAAAAACCAGCAGGTTTAGAGAGAAACCCTTAAAAGCCAACCAATTCAGATACAGTACAATAGACCTGGTTATTAAGGGTTGTCTGGGAAAAACCATCAATCATTGGCTGTAAAAACACACTTGTATAGAAACGGGCTCAGATGCATTAAATAAACACGTTGGAGAGATGGCACCCATGGCAACCCAAACTTCATCCCATCACATTTGCATCAGTTGTGAAGGATGGAGAGAGGCTTAAGAGAAAGAAAAAAAAAATCAGGGAGAAAGGGACAGAAGGAGGCGGGGGCTGTGTGGCGAATAAGTAAATCAGCATCACACATGCCGCACACAACGTTATTGCAATCTGCTCCTATTTAAATGAATAGAAAATTGTCTGCTAAGCATGCACATCGATGCAGAGCTGTACATCTGTGTGCATATATTAATCCAGGACACTAATAACACGCTGCCTACACTGTTCCCTAACAAGAATATTCCCAAGATAGATGCGTTTCCTTAAGCTCGGGTCTCTTGGTAACCTTTAAAAAAAAAAATGCCATCAAAAGTCTTTGACATAAATCATATCCACTCAAACAGGCAGCCCTTTGAATGATTAAATGCTGCCGAGTGATGTCGTTAAACAAAAGAATAAAAAGTTAGAGCTGTTAGTTGTGTAAATACGATGCACAGCAACACCATTAATGAGCCTTGCACCTTTGAACAGGAGTTTACACATCTGCTGATTCCGGTTTGTTGATTCTTATTTATATTTTCTTGTCATCTATTTGAAGCGACGCCTCAGCAGGGGGGTCCAAGCAGGGAAGAAACGTTCTGCCGTCTACCTTTGCCACCAGCGCCGACACCTTCGCTTTGCTCGCCTTTCAAGGCGACGCCTTCTTGAAAGGCGCATTTGCCTTGAAACCTATGACACCATTCTAAGCTCCTGTCAACGTAATAGAGCTGACATTTTAAGAAGTGCGTGTAAGTGACAGTATGCATGTGTGTGAGTTTGTTTGTCTGTGCAAATGTGGGAGTTTATGCAATGTGTGTGAATAAATGGCTGAAAGTGATGTTTAACAAGATCAGCCGCTGGAAGCCTGATTTGTGTACATAACAGCAAGAGCGCTAACACGAGACACAATCATCTTTCCCTTTTAATCGTTATTCCTTGAGACCTGTGATTCAGAAGCCACATTCCTATTCGTACAGTAGATGCATCATTAACACTGTGTGGACGAAGAGTCTCCGGATTCACGTTCATCACTCGAGTGCCACAGCTGATGCTTTGTCTACATTCACTTCCAGGTGTTTCCACGCACAGAAGACAGATTCAAAACCCTTTTCTGAACCCCTGCTTCAATCACTGGCTCTGAATCTGCCAAAAACTCTTAATTTTGCAATGCATAATTCAGTGACTGCACTACTCAGGGTATTTTACACAAATTACGAATATACTGTCCTCTTTCATGACATATCGTAGGCCTTTCAAAATGATGTATGAGTAATAAGACACGAAGAAATATACTTTTAATCACCACAAGAGATGAAGAACTTGAATTGAAAAACATGCATAATTCACACACAGAGCATGGCAAAGATCAAGGTCCATTTCATTTAGACATGTCTTTGAGTTTAAAAATAATCTATTCTCCAAAATAATATTAAAGGCAGAAGACATTCAGAAACTTGAATGTCTATTTCTGAAGCTTTGGTTAGCTATTAGGTTAGCCTCTTTGTAAAAGGTCACTTCAACTAACAAAATATTCAGCCGGAAACAAAAACAGAATTGAAAGATCCCTCTGCAGGAGATGTAAAATATTAATCATGAGGCTACATAATAATGGGGAGACTCACAAACCACAGTGAGGCTTGTGCACACAATAATTGATATATTTAACTCTTTTTAGATTCAAAATGCTTTAGCACTCCGTATTTAAATATCTCAGATTCTTCAAAGCTTCACCTGTTAGGCGGTTCAGTGCATGTTTTTACAAAAGAGTCACAGATTCAGACACAATTTGACTTAATGACTACACGCAACCCTCAAAGGAGCTGGAGATATCCTGAGCTGTCGGGAGGGGCAGACGCATTTTCCATCCAAGACACGCACACGCTCGTGGATTTGTCGTCCCCTTGCGTTTAGCCGGAAACTAGGTTATCCGCAAGCAAGTTGATTACAGAAGCGCAGGAATGGGGAGGAACAGAAACGCAGACGGATAGGAGGCAGTTTTAAATCTGTGAAATGGATGTTAGGAAATAATAGGAAGAAGCAGGAAGTTAAAGACAAGAGACAATTTAGATTACCAAGTTAATCCTTTAATTACCGGATATGCCTGGAGCTTATACGAGATGTTTCACACTCTGCTTTTTACAACAATTCAGACTGCAGAAAGCAGGGCGGGTTGCCATAATGATCAGAAGCCATACACCTTAAAATAATGAATTGCTGGAAATCTATATTGTTTATGATGCTGGAACAACCGAACAAAAACACTTCTAATTGCAATCGTTACTTTGAGAGCTTTGCAATTAGATCAAACATGTTCTCTTTCAGCTGGCCTCGTAGCTCACAATATGCCAAGCGTCCACACAGAAAATACACCACTTTAGAGAGCGTCCAAAAAAAACATGTTCAATTTGGCAAGATGACAAAGCGGCAGGGTGTATAACTGCTGATTTCGGCAGAAGTTACTCATTCTGTTCCAAAGGCTTTTGACACAAATCGTTGTAAACGTGAGGCCCTCTGCGACACTTGTCAAAGTGTTGTCAACCTGCCCATTCCTCTCTCTTCCTCCACCGCGGCTCATCATTTAGCCTCCACACAGAGTAAGAGTGGCGAGGAAAGAAATGGGGGATGACTTGGCCCATCTAATTAGTGTGACAGAGCATGGAGGCTCCTCCGCATCAAACGGAGAATTAGAAAACAACACGGAGATATGATCCATAACAAGGCAGAGATAAAGCATCACCTGTTCAACTCTAATTACTGTTACAGTATGCCGGCACCACCTACACTATTTAACAAGCCACCAGCACTTTCTGTATCCATGACAGCTTTAGCTAGTGGTCTCAGTAACAGTAAAGACATGATTGAAACTCATTGAGAATTTAATAAAGTTAATACTAATAATGTCTCCAGTGTTTTTCTTTCACCTTGGCATGCCATGGTGGTCGGCAAATGTCTTAGCTCCACTAAATGTATTAAATTAAAACGTATTTGCAATCACGAAGTGGGAAACATTTAGATGATACCAGGTTTAAATGGCATTTTATTATTGAAATAACACACCCAATTACATATCTCATGTGAAAGTGTCTATATACAACCTTTTAGCATTTCAAAGTGCTGGATATGTCTTTCCATTTTCGTCAGGCTACTCCTAGTGACAAATGTGGTGACTTTCTCAGTCCATAAACAACAAAAGAAAGAAATGTATTTAAATATATTACATTGCTATTTATTCCCATTGCTCATGATGGCAGTCCACGGCTCTCCTCTTATCAGCACAGGGGCTCTCCTTCTCCTCTTGCAGTGTATAACATCATCTGACAACTTTTAAGGACATTTGGAGCTAGCTCTAGGTTCTATCATTAAAAGATTTTGGAACAAGGCCGAGGATACACTGCATTTTGTTTTCCACAGCTTTGTGCCTTCATTGCCCCTGGAGATCTTAGTCTGTGAAAAGCAAGGATTATGGGAACTAAACTAAATGCATGTG